ACTCTACACTACTCTGTTTTTAGAATCACATTGTTTGTCATTAAAACAAAGTTCAAAAACAGGAGCAGAAGCTGACTTCATGTGGGGGGGCGTAGACTTCACCCCAACTTTCTCCTTCGATTCAATATTCGGCCTTTAAAATAATCCAAATATTGATCACACACAGAGAAGTGAAACCTACAGAAGCAGCGCATGAGTTAAAAGGAACTAAACTAGCTGAACACGCCCCCTTTAACCTTTAAATGAAACTTAGACGCGGCATAAAGGGAGGAAGCTTCTAGAAGACCAATGCAAAAAAACAAAAGAACAAACAAAAAAAAACAGGAGAGCATGAGAGTTGTTCTGTGCAGATTTTAGCAGATCCACGCGTGTATCAGACGCAAAGCACGAGCTGATCGGACCGCGTGGCCCCGAGGAGCCCATCGTGGCTCTGCTAGCTGCAAAAGCAACAGCGTTTGGAGACATTAGTAGAAATTACCTTCTGGTTTTCCTCTCTCAGCCTGACAACTCCACCGAGGTCTTCTAGATCCGTGTTCCCTTTGTTAGCCATTGTCAACACAAATGCAAACGCGTCAACACGAGTTTGTTTGACCCACAAAACAAAGCTCAGGGGTTTGAGTGAGTCCTAAAGAAGTGTTTATGAATCCAGCAGCTTTTCCTCAGAGGCGTCCTGCACGCTGTCATCAATGAGGCCGTGATAAAGGTCCACACTTCCGGAGGTGATATCATTTCACACACATTTCAGGGTTTCTGCATGATTCCACGGAAATAAATATCCACAAGGTCCAAAAAGATTAGCAAAAACAATCCTCGTCACTTTCGCTGCGCCATGCACTCAGACATCAAAACAGCGGAAGTGTAGTACTGACATCCGGTTAGAAATTTCAAAATAAAAGACCGAAAAGAAAATGCATCGAAATTCAAGATTTAAACTAATCCAATGATATATGCAGAGGTAAAACAAAGTTAAATGATTAAAAAAATAAATTTACTCAACTATCAATGCATTAAGCTGCAGGTATAACCATTTTCATTTGATGCTAGGATTTACATAGGATGTATACACTACAGGAACCTTTTATGGAGATCACAATTGAAAACTCTTCAGGGAACAGTTCATTTAGCTAATTTTCTAACCTTTAATGGGAGGTCAGAAGAGGCCTGGTTTTATTCAAAGTTAGCTTTAATATTGCCAGTGTGTCAGAAATAAGCAGTAGAAAAAAATATATGTTAATGCTCTACTTTTGTGCTCTTAATTGGAAATAATGGAAACTTCAATTTCCGTTTTAAGCACCTTAATGAATTGTATCTGACTTCACAAACATCAGCTCCGTACCGTCCCAATGTACTATGGGTAAAAATGGGAATGTATGTGTATGTAACTGCATCGAATAAAACTCTTTCATCAATACACCGCAAGTATTACAAATAATATATTGTGTAAATATCACACATGGTCACATTCGGGAAATTATAAAAGTTCTGTGGGCGGAAATCTAAAGGTTAAACTGTCTGCAATTAAATTAGGGCAACTGATGACTTAAGTTTAAATATTGATGCTTTCAAGTACCCTTGGAAAATCAATAACTGGTTATTTAAAAGAAAACTTGTATTAATAACCTGTTTTATCAGTCGTGTGACCTATGTTAACCAACCAAATTCAGACTACAAAGGTTATAGATATCTATTTCGGTTTATATTGGCCTGGAATTATTCTAGCTAAAATGACCTTTAAAATGATAACTTCAAGGTCAAAGAAACAACTTTTCAGCTCATAAACTTTTTAATCACTCTGTAATCCTCTTTTTTAAAGACCCTTTTGCCCTTTATGTGTAATTTAACTGAAAAAACAATCAGGAAGTCCATCATGAGATGGATAGAAAAAAATTATAGTTTTTCTAGACGCAAAAAAAAAAATAATCCTTGATATTGTCCCCACTGCCAGGCTCCTCACTTGACAGCTTAAGAGGTGAACTAAGGCCCCGTCCACACGAAGCCGAACCCTGGCCTAAACGCACAAATTTTTCACCAAACCAGCCTCTCATCCACACGAAGCCGGCGTTTCGGGGGTCTGTAAACGATCTTTTTTTTATTCAGCCTTCAGAGTGGGAAGACTTCGAAACGCCGTTTTCGCGTTTCCATCTTTACGC